TTTTCCATTTTTCTTTGCAAGCCTCCTAATAAAGGCATTAAAAGAATAATCTGGTTTTAGGTATCATTTTAGAACCTCAGGCCTCATTGAAAGAATCAATGCTTCTTTTAAGCCTGTCTTTGCTTTTTAAATATTAATAGGCAAACCAAGGTGACCTTCACTTTGTAGCTGAAGGGAGGAAAGGGGGTAGGCAGAATCAACAGGGCATTGGCTAATCATTAGCTGATTGCAAATGAGGAGGATCAAAGAAACAGTTAGGATGTACTTTTCATCTTTTCTGGAAAATAGTGTTGTTGTACCTAGTGGATATTGCTGAGACTTTGGGAAATATCCCAGATGAGGAGACACAGATTTCATGGGGCTGCATTTGGGTTATTAAAAATTCACTAAGGTCCATCTTCACCAAAAATAAAGATTCTGACAAAAAAAAAATAGTAATAGCGAGAATTGTGTGTGGTATTTGGTGCTGTGGAAAATCTTGGAATGGCAGGCAGAAGTTGGGTTCAAATCTTAGCACTACCACTTACCACCCCTCTAATATTGGACAAGTCACTTAACTTCTCTAGGCCTCAATTTCCTTGTCTGTCAAATGAGAGTGACTTACATAGTTCCTAGTAACTCTACATCCATGATCCTAGGACTCACAAAGTAATTATATAGAAGACAACCTCAGCATGTAAGAATCCCTTTCAATAATAAGCTCAAAGGAAATCAAGCAAATCTAAGTATGTTGTTTCAAGTTTATATATGTATATTCTCATCTGCTAATTACTAATTAATTGCTAATTAATAATTATTATCTTTTGCTGCTTTCAATTTTTTAAAAGAAACCACAATAAATATATCATGATTTTATGTAATACCATACATGAAAGTTTGGTTTTCACAAAGAAAATAAATTAGGGGTTATTTGCTATTAATTTTATAAAAAGAGTTCATTATAAATGTCCTTTGAATTCAGGCTCTTGCTCTTATTTTCTATGTGGCTGTTGCAGTGCCTCTAGGAATTTTTGCATATAGAGAAAAGAGTACAAAGTATGCCATCATTTGAGGTATTGGGGGCAGAAAATTGCAGCTCTGCCTAGCCATAGTTTCCTATATCAATTATCTTGCAAACTAGCCATTGAGCTGTGGTTTCTATGGACTTTTGAATGTTTTCAGTACCTTCTAAATTTAGTGCTCTGGGACAAAGCCCTGATCACTCTGCCTTGGTTATATCTCTGAACCTCGAAAAAGTCATCCCTCTGAGCCTCGGTTTCCTCATCTGTAAAAAGGAAATACTTGTATCACATATATCACAGGGTTGCTGTGAAGAAAGTTCTTTGTAAACTTTAAACCACTCCATAAGTGTAAACTACTACTATTTAAGCAGTGAGTTCTGAAAAAATATGATTCAATTTATGAAAAATTAATGTACAGGTAACTATTTCAGTAATATATCTATTGAAGTTTAGGGTTTTAGGGGTGCTGGGACCCCAAAATCACAACATGAGGGTCTTGCGTGAATGAATCCGACCCAAGTCTTCTTTCAGCCAAAGACAAGTTTTATTAAAGATCCACCAGATCAGCCAGACTCTTAAGGAATCTGAATATTTGTGAGCTATTGGCTAGATTGTAAAAATCTGAGCCTTTGGCTAGACTCTTAAGAATTTGAGCACCTTAATGGAGACAAGTTGGACATTATATACAGGAAGACTGTGGAAGGGATCTAGGAAGGATCTTGATGGGAGTGACTGGGAGGTCTAGAATGGGTCTAGATAGGGCAAGGGTGGGAAGTAGCCAGGGGCCATCAGGAGGTAATAGACAGTGGAGATCTGGGCTAGGTTAAGAGTAACAGAGAATTGGGAGATTGGGCAGTAGAGGATAAGAAAGGCCAGTTGATAGAATTATACCTTGAGGGGAACACCAGAGACCTCCTTGATCAAGTGGGAGAATTCAAAGAAAATCCCATAGGGACCCAAATTCTTTTTGGGGTAAGGGCAAAGGTCTCAACTTAGGCCCATACCCCATCATACCTGTTACATTCATTTGAAGTTAAAGCACCAAATTAAAATGCCTCGAAAAGTCTATACTGGCTGCAAATGCCTACAAAAGATTCTATAAAGCTCTTTGAACTTGTTAAATGTCACAAGGTAGTCCACAGAGGAAAAACCCAAAGAATATTAACAAGTATGAGTGGAGTTCAAATGGAGTCCGGCATGAAAGGGGAGGAAAAATAACAGAAGGGAAGCGTGGAGTAGAGGGGAAGGAGCAGCTTTGCTAAGACTGGGTACCTGCAACAATCATCGCAGACTCTACCCACACCTATTCAAGCCAGTAGTCGATGCAAGCGAGTCTTAGTCTGGACACCCCAAGACATTTAAGGACTTCTGAGAGAATGAAGAAATGGATGGCCTCAAAGATTCCATAAAATTTATAGTTGCTTTGCTGCAGGGGTCTAGAATTTTCTTCTACTGTCTTCCCTGATACTATTTTATGTGTGCCTGACTGCTATATTTCTGGGTAGAGTCAGCAGGAGTTTATATTAATGACATCTGTTTCTTATAATAACAATATAGGTCTTATAATAACAATAACAGCTAGTATTTGTATAGCACCTACTATGTGTCAGGTACTATGCTAAATGCTTTACGAATATTATCTCATTTGATCCTCACAACAACTCTGAGAGGTAGCTGCTACTATTATCTCTATTTTACATTTGAGGAAATGGAAAAGGCAGACAGAGGTTAAGCTACTTGCCCAGAACTGCTAATTAGTGTCTGAGGATTGATTTGAATTCAAGTGTTCTGACTCCAGTACCAGGGCTCTATCCACAGCACTACCCACCAGACCATAATATCAATAAAACAGGAGGTTATGTTATCTGCTATGACAACAAAAGCTAATGTTTGTATAGCATTTTAAAGTTTGTTAGGTGGCACAGTGCATATATTGAGGTTTAGGAGTGGAGGGGTGCTGGGACCCCAAAATTACAACATGCGGATCCTTCCTGAAAGAATTTGACCTGTCTTCTTTCAGCCAAAGACAAGCCTTATTAGAATATCCATCATATTGGGCAGATTCTTAAGAAGTCTGAACATTAGTGAGCTATTAGCTAGATTGTAAGAATCTGAGCACCTTAATGGAGACATGCTGGACCTCATATACAGAAAAACTATGGGAGGGATCTAGGAGTGGCCAAGTAGTCTATGAGGTAATAGAACTCCAGGGACCTGGACCATGTGGCCAAGAGAGAATGGAGCCTAGATAGGATTAAGGGTGGGAAGTGGCCTGGAACCTTGGGGTGGTAAGACAATGGAGGACTAAACTAGGTAAAGGGTAACGGAGAATTGGGAGATTGGGTGTAGCCACAATGAAAGGCCAGTTGATGGGATTATAGCCTCAGGTGAATGCCAGGGATTTGGCCAGGTGGGAAAGTCCAGGGTTTTTCTTTTTTGGGGTCTAGATGCCATCCTCATCAACAAGAGAAGGACAATGTATAGAAGGCTGTAATCAGTGCCAAATCCAGATCTTGGAGATGGTACAATCTGAGGGATGCTGATATCTTAGATGGTATTCTGTTGGCGTTTGGCTGAAATAGGGTAAAGAAGGTAGCTGAAGTTTAGGAATTTAAGGAATCATGACAGGTCAGAGCTCTTTTTGGAAGGATTATCAACATGAATAATGAGAGCCTTGAGGATCTTAGGTTAAGAGGTATAAACGACCTTAGAAGGTATCTACTCCAATCCCTTCATTTTTTTTTTTTCAGATGAGGAAATTGAGGCCTAGAAATGAAATTACTTGTCCAAGGCCACACAGGAAGTAAGTAGCAGAACCAGGATTCATACTCAGGTCCTCTGACTCCATATTCAGCGTTCTTTCTACTGTATCATACTGCTTCCCATTATAGGAAATGGTGATACAAAGAGAAGGGCCTTGGACCAATTACTAAAGTTGTTGAAATAGTTGGAATGATGGCCAAAGTGTTGATAAACAACAGCAACAAGGATGGAGAGAAATCTGTACAAGCAGAACACATGATCCTTGAAAAGCAGTTATTGCCATTTAAGGATATGCTGACCCTTCCTCCTGCCCCTCAAACCCTGGTTCTATGACTCTCAATCCAGTATTCTTTCCACCGTTCCATGCTACCTGTCCAAGGAAGCCTTAGGAATAGCAAGAGAATACACTGCCATTCTACAGTCCGAATTATGAGCAGAAAGTGGATTTTTTTGAAAGTGCAACATCACCTAGTTTCACTAGAAACCCAGGGGACTGAGATGAAATCTGAAATAGGGATCAGAGCTAGAAGGATCTTTAGAGATCATCTATTCTAATCCCTTAATTTCCCAGATGAGAAAACTGAAACCCAGAGAGAAGAAACAATTTGCCCAAGGTCAAATAGGTAGAAATGGGCAGAGCTGGGATTTAAAATCAGGGCTCCTAGAATCAGGTCCACACACAAAGAATATCCCCTCACACAATTCTTACATCTTTGCTTATCAAGCAGTTTCCATCAGCCCAACAGTGAGCCAATATGGTTCGCTACAAAACATAACCAGTCATGAACTCCAAAAAGGAGGAGGAAATGATGTTATAAAGGAACTTATGAGAGGAAGAGAAAATGAGTTGGCTACATGGGGTGGGAGAGGATGTCAGGAGCACAGCCAGAATCTTCCACCAGTATCCTTGTGATGTCACGAGAGAACAAGAAAGACGTCCAGCACATTGTGAAGACTTCCTATGTCAGTCTTATAGGAGATTGAAGACTAGAGTGCACAGAATGGACAGGTGTGGATTAGTTGTGTTGGAAGGAACTTCTGGATTGATGAGATCGCAGATCTATTTGAGTATTTTAGTTCATTTCTATTTGAGTATTTAGTTCATGTCTTACTCATTGTGATTTGTTTTCAATAATTTAAATACCATGTTCCCTGAATTGAATGTTTCTATGAACTATAGCTTTGTTTCCATTTCTACTCTTTGAGAATTTAATTGTGTTTTTCTACCCTCCACAGAGATATGGCTACGGAGGATGGGTGCAGCTCCATCACGACAGCAAGGTTGGTGCCCTTCTTCTCATCAGGTTTTCTGGACCTCCTAGTCCCCTGCAAGCAACAGATGCAGCATAGAACCTATGGAAACATGTGTGATGCCAAAGGAGAGCCTCCAGACAGCTGAGTTCCTTTGTCTCCCTGTTTAACTTTGCATTTGCCTAGAGATTGGAAGGGAGATTTCTCAGGGTTATTACCTTCAAAGAGTGGCATTTTAAAAGATGAAACCGTAGTTTGAGATGCCATTAAACAAACATTTTTTGCCCTACAGGCATTTATTATTCTGCCGCTAGGAACTGACCTAGTCATCACCACAGGTTATTGCTGTGTATTAAGGTGGGCTAAATAAATGGAGCATTTTGGATTCCGGTGCAAGTTAGAGAAATTAAACATCAGAGGCAAAGGAGAGAAGCCTTCACTGGGGCCAGGGTTTGATAATAGTAGAAAGCAAGGAAGGAGAAGGAGCCTCCAGGCAATCCAATTTGCAAATAATTAGGCCCAGGGGTGAGCTAGAAATCTGGCCCCGGGAAGGACTGTATCCCCTAACTTTATTCACAGAGTAATAATGAGCCATCATTAACACTGCAGGAGACTGCTTAGCATTTCATCCTCATCCTCCTGTTTTCTGAATCCTATTTATAACGTGTTTGTATATGCTTTGTGCACAGCACATAGTATAAATAGGATACAGCGAAAAGCAAGCATTATCCCTGGCTTTCTAGAGTCCACAACCTGAACTTGCTGGTTATTTTATTAAAGGTAAAGTACTATACAGATGGAGATGCTTTAAGGCTACCAAGTGGCCCAAATCTTAGGGACTTAGTGCCTGATTTTTATCCCACTGCTTTAATTTGAAATTTGACTCCAGAACAGAATCTCACAGCACTGGAAATCTGTCTATTACAGATATGTCAATCCATAAATATTTAGTTTATACCCAAATGTAGGGAGTAATATCAATTTTTTAATAAGTGACACCATCTTACAAAGGAAATTGTGCTGTTTGTAGAGGGCACCGTATTAATGATGATGCAAGCATACCATTTGAAATGTTACCTAGAGCACTGTTATGTTTACAAAAACCTTATTATTGCATTATAATCAAACTTCTTACTAGCATTGCTTGGCCAATTGCCCAAGACACAATTCAAGTAAAATTTCAGAATGTTAGAGTTTTAAAGGGACGTTAGGGATCATCTTGTTGTACCGAGAAATCAGCAAGCAAGACCCAGATATAATTTAAAATGTGGATTTATTAGCACCGCTGCAAGGGGTATGCACACCCAAATCAAGCAGCCCTGATCTGGGGTCGAGCTAGGGTTTATATGGAAAAAGAGCATGGGAAAGAAATGCCAGGAACACTGATGAGGTAATCCAAAGGTGCAGGTGTCTTTGGGAGCTATGGATGGGAAAGTACAGGGAGTATACTGCACAGGGAGGGGGATGGATCTTTGGAGTCTGGCAGGAGGAAGAGTCCTTGGGCTGGCCAAGGACACCCCTCTCCCTCTGTCTTGAGGAGAGAATGCTCTGCAACAAGGGAAAGCTTTCTCACAACACAGGAACTTACTAAGGAATTGGGAGGCTTCCAGAGACATGATCTGAGGGCTGGGGCCTGAGCAGCCCAGCTCTGTGTAGCTGTACCAGGGAGAGAGATAAGGGTAGTGCTGAGGCCCATGCATGAATAACTGCTAGGCACAGTGTCCTTGGGCTGGGGAGTGGTTGTCAGAGACAGTGTTTCTGAGACTAGGGAGAAATTGGGGCACAAGTACAAGCACAAGCACCCGAGCACCCCAACATTACAGGTCAGAGATCACACAAACTAGACCAGGTGTCCTGGTCTCTGGTATAAACATAATTATCTAAAGCAATTATATTGCAAGCTTTCTTATACATTTGCGTTGGAGGTACGGGCTATGCTGAGCTATGCAAGAGTACATTTCACTATTGTTTAGATTTAGGAGAAAAGAGGTCTGGGGCAAGATTAAGCACCAACTTCTGCTTTCCATGGCCCTACTACCTAAATGGTAAAATAATGTTCTGCATTACAATCTTGTCCAACCCTATCATTTTATGAATGAGAAAAATGAAGCCAAAGCCTATATAAAATATAGACAAGATAGTTTGGGTTAGGGTTGGAGATATAGCTGGAGGATATCAGAAAAGACATGTCTAGGAGGTGCCACTTAAGCTGAGCTCTGAAGGAAGTTAGGAATTCTAAGAGGTCAAAGTGAGGAAGGAAGGCACTCCAGGCACCAGGAACAGACTACACAAAGGTGCAGAGATGGAAGATAACGTGTTGTGTATGCAATGATTAATAGCAAGATGGCCAGTTTAGAAGACATAAAGGAGAGCAAAGCAAAACAGGCCCAGGTTGGGAAGGGGTGTAAATGCCAAAGAGAAGAGTGTTTATTTTATGCTGGAGGTAATAAGCAACCAAACATATGCCATGATCAGGTTCTGCACAGACATAGGTTAAGTGACTTGCCTAGGGTCACACAGCTAGTAAGTGTCTGAGGTGGGATTTGAATTCAGGTCTTATTGACTCCAGGCCTAGTGCTCTATTCACTATGCCATCTAGCTGCCTCAAGTGCCAAGGCAGGTACAAACATTCTGAGAGCTTGAGCCATGGCTCTTCTCTGTATTGATTCTTATATCTGGTTCCTATTCTTTCCCTCTATCTTCTTAATTTGACATTGACTCAACCCTTTGATTTCTTTGATTTGAATTCTATATCTGGATTCCTAGGCCCCAGTTTCTGTTTGTGCTCTGTGGATCACCTTCTCTAAATTTAGCTAAGCTGGTCCTCAGGCAACAGATGTCACTGGGTCCATACTTAAGGCCTTTCCAGCTGGAAGGGACCAATCACAAGCTGTACTCAGCTAGAATTGCCTTTGGAAAGCAAGGGACACTTTCTTTTCATAATAAGTCAGTCTGGGAAGATTTTGCTGGAAGGCCAGAGGACAAGTCAACAAGCACTTATTATGCACCTGCTATGTGCAGGCACTTTTCTATCATCAGGGTGTCTGGGCTTTATTAGGATTATAAAGTAATAAATTTAGAGCTGGAAGTAACCTTACAGACCATCAAGTTCAAAACTTTTATTTATTCTATGGATGAGTAAACTGATACCATAAGAGTTTAAAGATTTGCCTAAGGTCACACAGCCAATAAGTGTCTAAAGCAGGATTTAAACTCGGCTACCCTGAACTAGCACTCTATCTCCCATACCACCTAGTTATCTATCATAGAACTCTGGAAATCATTGCAGTTGTGGCTACATGAGCTATAGAAACACAAAAAGTAAATAAAAATGCTCAATGAGCTCAATGAGTATAATATCATTATACTGTGCACAGCATCCTCTCAGCCTTAACACATGCACATAGCTCCCCTTCCCCTCTGGCTGATATAATCTTTTAAACAGTAAGGAGGTAAGACCCCTCCCCCTTCCTTTTTTTTTTTTTTGCAAGATCATCTCTATGTTATGCTAATAGGTGTAAAAATGAAATATAACTACTCAAGCATTTGCAGTGGCCAGAAAAAAGACAATTCAGAGTTGGAAGGGACTTCAGGGGCCAAGTAGTCCAGTCTATATCTCAAATAAAATTTCCCCTACAACCTACCTGACAAATGGCCATCCAGCTTTAAAGATAGATAAATAGATAGTTAGATAGATAGATAGGGATCTGTGGATAAATAACACCTTTATTAAGTACTTACACTCTGTACCAAGCATTGTGCTAAGTGGCTGAAGATACCAAAGCAAGAAAACAAAACAGTCCCTACTCCCAAAGTGCTTACATTCCAAAAGAGGGAAAAAAAAAAACATAAAGAGGATCTGGAAAAATGAAGACTACAGTGATGGAGGGCAAGCAATTGTTGGGGAGGTGGGGAAGACCAGAACATCATGGCTGGGGCTCCTATTAATATAAGAGAGTTTTTTCTTGCCTAAAGCCTAAATTTGCCTCTTTGTAATTTTCATTGAATTCATTGCTCCTCCGTATGCCCACCAGGGCCCAAGAGAACAAATCTAATCTCTCACATGATAGACCAATCTGCACTGGAAGACAGTTTTCATGTCCCCCCTGAACTGACATCAGGTCATTCACCACCCTAGTTGCCCTGTTCTTTTCTAGTTGCCTCACCAGCTGTCCTTCCCAAACTGTGCTGCCAAGAATGTCCATAATACTGCTAAGCAATTGGGAAGTTTAATAAGTGTTGGCAATTATTGCTAAAGAAAACTATCAGCAATCCGAGTAGTAGAGTAGCATAATCAATAGACTATTGGACTTGAAGATAGAAAGATCTGGGTTCAAATCCCACCTCTGATACTTATTAGCTTCATGATCATGGAGAAGTCATTTAGCCTTTCTGTGCCACAGGCAACACTCTAAAATTAGAAGTTATTTAAGGAGCTGTGATTGGTTTTGGGGAGAGGGCTTGCAATTGCTGGTCCACATCAATGGATCCTTGATAAAATGGAAAGTCAGGGATGTGTATATACAACTTTATTCAAATGGGAACATAAAGTAAAAGTGAAGCAAAATTGTCTACAGAAAAAAAAATACTTGAACTTAGAAAATAAGAAACCTAACCTCAATAGACCAGTCTCAGAAGGAGAAATCAAATAAGTCATTAACAAGCTTTTCTGCAAATGGCACCAGGACCAGACTGTTCCACCAATGTATTCTTCCAAATCTACAAATGGCTTGTGATCTCTATATTCCTAGACTTTCTAAACATAATAAAAATGGCGTGTTGATTCAATTCTTTTATGAGGCAAATGTGGTTTGACCCTGAGAAGCTGACTTATGAGCAATATAACAATTATGATGCCGTTCTCCTCCCACCTTCCCCAGGTAAACAGGAATAATAAAATCTGGGATTTTTCATTTACAAGATGTTTTCATTCTTCTATATTCATTTGGTAAAACTGAAATCTTCTGGGACAGCTGGTCTCAATGCCTAATTTAGCAGAGATTTGAGCTTCCCAAAAGATCTTCCTGAAA